ATTTCTAGAGTGATATTTCTTTTTCAATTCTTTTTTTTTAAGATTTTATTTATTTATTCATCGAGATGCAGAGAGAGAGAGAGAGAGAGAGAGAGAGAGGCAGAGACACAGGCAGAGGGAGAAGCAGGCTCCATGCAGAGAGCCTGATGTGGGATTCGATCCAGGGTCTCCAGGATCACGCCCTGGGCTGCAGGCGGCGCTAAACCGCTGCGCCACCGGGGCTGCCCTTCATTTCTGGTTTTATCTTTAGGTCTGTCACCTCATTTCTGAACATTTCTAATTCTAATTTATGTTATTTCATGTTTTCTATAACTTTAAGAAATGTTTTTTAGCTTGTTTTGAAAGAGTAGATAACAGTTTTGTTTTGTGTTGGTATGTTTTTCTCTTTTGCTTTTTTTTTATTCTAGTATTGTTTTTTTCCTTGTAAAACCATTGTAAGGGATTTTATCTTGATCCTTTCATTTTACTTACGTTATCTGTGAAGTTAGTTTTTCTATATATTGCTTTTTAAAGAGCTGTATATATTTTTTAAATGAGTGATACATGTCTAAGAAGTTTAAGTAATTGAATAGAGATAGAAAAAGGTTTTTCCTGAGGTCTTGAAAAGATGAATTAACTTGTAATCTCCCTATTATTTTTGATGTTCATACTGTTATCATCATATTCAGGGAGTAGCCTTTCTATCTGTTACTATGTACTTTTTGACATAATCATATTAATTTTTGAAAGCTTTCTCACTGGATCACTTTTTAATCTTATGTACTGAGTTCCCCAAACCAATCCTAAACTGACCTTTTATACCAGAAATTCTTTTTCCTTTTTAGCAAGGAATACATTGAAGCCTAGAACCTGAGTCTTTGGGTAGTTCAGCAGTTTTTTTCATGGCTGTATCTCTTGTCTGACCCTGATTTTACAGTTACCCAAGTAGTATCTTAGCCTGAAGTGTATGAATTTAAAAGTAATCTGAATTCATAGTATAGCAGTTTACTAACTGTTGTATTTCTGAAAATGAATTACGTATCGTACTGTTTTCATAAATGATGACTATATCTATTCTTCATTCACAACATAAAGCTTGTTGTAAGCTAAATCTCATTATTCCCCATACATGCTGTTCAAAATGAACTCTTGTTCTCATTCTTCTATGAAAATTTGACCAGAACCATAAAAATCACAGAAGTTAGATAATGAAAGGAATCTTTAGAGCAGTGATTTCAACTTTTTATGATTTGCTTCCTATGTATCACAAAGTGGTTTCCTATGCTTCTTAAAAAACACCCACTTAAAAAAAAGATTTATTTATTTTGGAGAGAGAGAGAGACAGAGGGCATCTGCAAGAGGGGGATGAAGGACAGAGGGAGAGGGAGAGAGAGTCTTAAGCAGACTCCCTGCTGAGCATGGAGCCTGATGCAGTGCATGACCTCATGACTCTGAGGTCACCATTGGAGCCAAAAATCAAAAGTCGGATGCTCATCCGACTGAGCCACCCACATGCCCTCATAATGCTCACTTTTTTTCATGACTGTAAGACATTTAGCTGCCTTCAGGTATAATACTTATCATCATTATAAATTTACAAAGACCTTAAAAAGCATATAGTTAGGAGTACATTTTATTGCTATACAATGTCAAAAAGACTTACTGGTGATTAAGGGAGATGGAGAATTGGATGGATGACAAAAGATCTAGGGTGAACAAAAGATTATCAAAAGGGTACTAGTGATAAATTCTGGCCTTCTAAATCACACTGATGACTGGTCAAAATCTCAGAACTTTTAAAACATGCCCTATCACTTTTGCTGTTTTACCCTGACCTCATCCTTGCTCTTTTGGTCAAAGAATTATGGGAGTTAGGAACTAGAATACTGCATTCTCATTTTGCTTTAATGATATTTACAGGCTAACCCAGGGAATGCTACCAAAACATCTAGATAAACATCTGTCTGAGTAGTTACCCAGCTTACCACTGGCTATTTTTCTTTTCTGTTGGGTGGGCCAAAAAGAATAGTCACTAAATTCTTGATGTGAGCTTTTTTTCTTGGAAATTTTGCATTTTGGGGTAAGTAATTTGTCTCAAATCAGAATGTCTGAGAAAAATCTAGTTAATCCGTGGTTCCTCGTTGTTGGGCTCCTGTTAATCAGAAGTTTTACTGTATAATCATAATGTATTTTGGATGTTTTCATTTATGTTATTTCTTCAACTGTCTGCATGGGTATTCTGATTACTTGATTACATCTGTGTAGCATAGTGGTATTTAAAATAGCATTTATAATTAAAAAAAATCCTTCCATCTTAGCAAGTAAAATGAGAATATGGAAAGACAATTGGTAGTTGAAACAATCATGTTTCCTCTTGTCGTGACTTGGCATTTAGTGGGTTGCAGGTTTTGGGTGAGAAGAAATGAATATGATAATTGCTGTGGTCCAAAATGACTAGTTGATCAAGCTGGAGACATGTGGAGTATGTAGACATGTAAACCTACAACCACTTTCTCCCCTTACAGAGCAGTTCCACTTTTCATGTGTTTACATTTTGGGAATTTCACAAAAGATTTTTTTTAATTAAGAAGATAAAATTCTGCTGTTAAAATAAATACAAACATTTGATGGGGAGAGACTTCATGAGCCTTTGTTTTGGCTGAAGAGACTTCTTATCTAGCATTCTGCCATTTATAACGGGTACTTGGAGGTATTTTGTCTCCTGTAGTGTATTTTGGGGTCTCTGGACCAAACCATCTTACTATTCTAGTGTTCTCTTTTTATGAAGACTTCTGATTAAGAGATACGAACTAACAGTTGTGGCACTCAGCTTTGTACTATTTTATTTAATCCTTCAATCAAACTTGAAAGGTGCTTATTATTCTCATTGTCCGACAAAGGAAAGGAGGTTATTAATTCAGAATCTAAAAAAATTCCCCTTTCTTCTGTGTTGCTTTTTGGGCATAATGAAAAGTATTGGGTTTTCTATACATTTTATCTGAGTGATTTCACCTACAACTTTTAATTTCCTCCTATTTTTAATGCCTTTGAAAATCCCTATCTCAGCCTGGACTCCTCTTAGAACCTTTAGACCTCTCTGTCAGCTTCCTGAGCACTATCCCATAGACATCTCAATTTAGCATGTGCAAAGTTTAAGTCATCATCTCATCCCCCAATTATTTATCTCTCATACATTCCTTTTGTTGATTCCCTGTTCTCCTTCCACCTTCTGCTTCTAGGTGCGTTTAATCCTCTTGATTTATAATGGCTGAGAGGCCATTCAAAGCAACATACTGTAGTAGCTACTCTGGATAATATACCTATAAGGAGATTGAAGCTCTTTTCCCAAGCCAAAAGTCTTTTTGGCACCAATGCCCATAGACAGAGTATGAAGCTTAAAATACACGACTTATTCTTTTTTTTTTTTTTTTTTTAATGATAGTCACACACAGAGAGAGAGAGGCAGAGACATAGGCAGAGGGAGATGCAGCTCCATGCACCGGGAGCCTGACGTGGGATTTGATCCCGGGTCTCCAGGATCGCGCCCTGGGCCAAAGGCAGGTGCCAAACCGCTGCACCGCCCAGGGATCCCGCGACTTATTCTTTATAACACCTGATCAAAGGTGCTGGGAGAATCAACAGTTGGGCTTCTGACTCTGATGGTGCCCCCTGCGTACATGTTGCTTTTTCTTTTTTCATACTTAGTCTCCATTGTTTACCCAGTAACCTCATCCTTTACTTTAGTATAATCCTCACCTTGACTTCTCTAGACCATGCCCTATGGTGGCACTAATTACATCATATTTTGTTCTGTCCCTGATTAGTTCATTGGCAAAATTCATTAGCATTTTGTTCATTATAATACCATAAACACAGGGGCAGATCCATTGCTGGGGAACTAAATGTGATTTATATATATATAGTATATATATATATATAAATCACATTTATATAGTTATATTTATATAGTTTTTGTTGAAACTATAATCGACCTGGTAAATTCCCACTGTATTCTTGACTAATTTCTTATAGTTACAAGGATGTAAACATTCTGTACTTTCTTTTGTCTATTTCCCTGAGGTATCAGTAATCACATTTCCTTGAATTAGTAGATATCCTGTGGTTTTCTTCCACGTCCCCTATATTTATCTCAAAGCCTGGCACAGAGTTGGTATTTAATAAAAAAGGACATTTGTGTTGAACTAGGCAGTGTGCTGTAGGGTATGGAGAATACAAAGATTTATAAAGTGTTTTTATTTTATTATTTTTTTATAAGATGTTTTAAAGGTGAACCTACTGTTTAGGTTAGGTGACAGGATACTTTATATAAATATAACACCACAGAAGTCGTTTTCCCAAAGAATATTGTTAATATCAAGCAGGAATCCTTCTTTTGTTATTTTTCTTTAGCCTGACTTTGTTTCCTTTTTTTTTTTTTAATTTTTATTTATTTATGATAGTCACACAGAGAGAGATTGAGAGGCAGAGACATAGGCAGAGGGAGAAGCAGGCTCCATGCACTGGGAGCCCAACGTGGGATTTGATCCCAGGTCTCCAGGATCACGCCCTGGGCCAAAGGCAGGCGCCAAACCGCTGCGCCACCCAGGGATCCCCTGACTTTGTTTCCTATATCTTTGTACACTTGTGCTATATATAATACTACATATTTTAATGTATTGGCCTGAATGCTTTGCTTTTTTTTTTTTTAAGATTTTATTTTAAATTTATTTATTCATGAGAGATAGAGAGAGAGAGGCAGAGACACTGGTAGAGGGAGAAATAGGCTCCATGCAGGGAGCCTGACGTGGGACTCGATCCTGGGTCTCCAGGATCAGGCCCTGGGCTGAAGGCAGTGCTAAACTGCTGAGCCACCAGGCTGCCCAAATGCTTTGCTTTTAAGTTGTTTTTGGTATGTAAATAATTAGTAAATATACTTATGGTTTTTTGTTTTTATAAAATTGTGACTCTGTATCAAGCATGATACTGTTTTTGTTAAAATTTCTACTTGTGTTTCTCCACAGGCAGCAGAAGATGTGGTTTTCATTGGACCTGACACACATGCTATTCACGCCATGGGTGACAAGATTGAAAGCAAATTATTAGCTAAGAAAGCAAAGGTTAACACAATCCCTGGCTTTGATGGAGTAGTCAAGGTGAGAAACTATTTTACTGTAATATACGTGTCCTTAAGTCAAACATTTTGTGAGAAGCGTAAGATAAAATGCAATTACTGCTTTTACAAAATATACATGCATAGGTTAAAATAAATCATTACTGTTTACACTGGATTAATTAATTAAGATTTTATTTATTTATTCACGAGAGATGCCGAGAGAGAGAGGCAGAAACATAGGCAGAGGGAGAAGGAGGCTCCCCAGAGGGAGCTAGGTGTGGGACTGCATCCCAGGACCCCAGGATCACGACCTGAGCCGAAGGCAGACGCTCAACCAGTGAGCCACGCAGGTGTCCCAGATTATTTTATTTTTTAAAAGATTTTATTTTTAAGTAATCTCTAAACCCAATATGGAGCCTGAACTTACAGCCCCAAGATCAGGAGTTACCTGCTTTAGTGACTGAGCCAAGCAAACACCCCTGGATTATTTTAAATGATATAAGTTAAAAGGAGCAAGAAGGCACTTAAGCATTTTATTTCATGGTTAGTTTTTTTAATTGAAGTATCATTGATGTGTACAATGTCTCATTAGTTTCAGGTTTATGACATAGTGATTCTATAACTCTATGCATTATGCTATGTTCCCCACAAGTGTAGCTGTCATCTCTCATCATACAACCCTATTACAGTACTGTTGACTATATCCCCTGTGCTGTACCTTATTATCCCTGTGACTTACTCTGTAAGTGGAAGCCTGTAATTCCCATTCTCCTTCAACCACGTACCCATCCCTGAACCCCCCAGTCCCTTTTGGACACATCAGTTTGTTCCTCATGTTTATGAATGTATGATTCTGTTTATTTGTTTTTCAGATTCCACATATAAATGAAATAGGTATTTGTCTTTCTCTGATTTATTTCACTTATATAATACCCTCTAGGTCTACGCATGTTGTCCTAAATGTCAAGATCTCGGTCTTTGTTAAGGCTGAATAATGTTCCCTGTGTGTGTGTGTGTGTGTGGTGTGTGTGTGTGTGTGTGTTTCACCTCTTCATCCATTCATCTATGGGTTAACACTTGGGCTACTTACATATCTTGGTTGTTGTAAAGAATGCTGCAATAAACATAGTGGTACATATATTTGAATTCATGTTCTTGTTCTCTTTGGATAAATATACAGTAGTAGAATCACTGTATGGTATGGTATTTTTTTTTTATGGTATGGTATTTCTATTTTTAATATTTAAAGGAACTTCCATACTGTTTTCTGCAGTGGCTGCACCAGTTTGCACTCCCACCAACAGTACATGAGGGTTCTTTTTCCTCCATATCCTCACCAACACCTGTTATTTCTAGTCTTTTTGATTCTGGCCATTTTTACAGGTATAAGGTGATGATCTCATCATGGTTTTGATTTGCATGTCCCTGATGATTAGTGATGTTGAGCATCTTTTCATGTGTCTGTTGGTCATCTGTATTTTTTTTTTTTTGAAAAGTGTCTATTCAGGTTCTTCTGCCCATTTTTAATCAGATTATTTTATTATATTTATATATTTATATATATTTATTATATTATTATTATTATTATTATTATTATTATTATTATTATTATTTGGTGGGGTTGTATAAGTTCTTTATACATTTTGGATTTTAAACCCTTTTTGGATAGGTCGTTTGCAAATATCTTCTCCCATTCAGTCATGATTAGTATTGACTCCTACTTTCATAGGAAAAACTTGGTGTTTTAAAAATATTCTCTTAGCTCTCTGGACTTCATTTAAATGATGGTATGTATTTAATGTTTGAAACATTATGATGTTCTCTGTATTCTCTGTATGTATCTTTGTGTTGAGCTTCTGTCCAGATGCATAAAACATAAATTATTATTTTTTTTTTAAATATTTTATTTATTCATGAGGGACAGAGAGAGAGAGAGAGACAGAGACAAAGGTAGAGACACAGGCAGAGGGAGAAGCAGGCTCCCTGCAGGGAGGCTGATGTGGGACTCCCATCTCGGGACTCCGGGATCATGCCTTGAGCCAAAGGCACACCTCAACCACCGAGCCACCCAGGTGTCCCTAAAATATAAATCATAAATGTGTTTCTGGTGGAAAGTGGTGTAGCTGTAGATGATTATAGATTTCAGCTATAGGTCCTCAGCAAGTACGCAGTTTTAGCAGCTGAAGGTTTCTAGGAAAGAAATGCAGAAATTGAAGTGTGTGTGTATGTGTCTGTGCTTGTGTGTTTCCCAGGAAAAGTTCTGTTTTTTTTTTTTTATTCTTCATTAGAAGAAGAGTGTCCCTATGTAGACTTTAACTTTGTGATTTGGGTTGGTCTGCAAAAACTTTTCATTTCACTTTCAATTATTGTTAGTTTTCGGGCTGGGTGATTCTTGATTGTGTATCTTTCATGTGTTATAGGACAGTTAGCAAGCTTGGCCTCTAATATCCTCAGTTTCTTGCCTATGTTTACTTTAATATATATATATATATATATTTTTTAATTATTTATTTATTTATGATAGTCACACACAGAGAGAGAGGCATAGACATAGGCAGAGGGAGAAGCAGGCTCCATGCACCGGGTGCCCGACGTGGGGATTCGATCCCGGGTCTCCAGGATCGCGCCCTGGGCCAAAGGCAGGCGCTAAACCGCTGCGCCACCCAGGGATCCCCCTATGTTTACTTTAATCTCTATTCATGTTCTTCCCCTGCCCCTTCTCTCCTGTTAACAAGGAAAAGATCCTCCCATCCTCAGTTGAGCCAGTTCTTCATGTTAGGTTCCAGATGTACCCCTGGTAACCTTCATGTTCTACAGTCTTTACTAATTATTTTTTTTCTTTTCTGTATCTGAAAACGTATCTTTCAGTCTTTTCCATTACCCTTGTTATGGAAAATCCTTAGTCAAAAGTGTACTGATCCCTGGGCTAAGTGGGAAGGATGTGGTGATAAACAGGAAGGATGCCCGTGACCCGTCACCACATGGCGCTTCCAGTTTAGTGGAAAGAAATATGATTGTTCTCTTCCTAGAGCACAGTAACCCCTCATCACTTCATAGCTGTCGCCTTAGTCTTTCCATTTTCTTTGAAGAATTGTCCTTACCTGTCCTTAATCATTAATCTATGGTCGGCTGGCTTCTTTCCTCATTTCCATGACAATTTCTTTTGCAAAGGCTACCAGCCACCTTTCCTTCTCACTAAATTCATTACCTTGTTTGTCCTGCCCTTTATCTCTTCGGAACATTTGAGTCTCTTGGTCACTTTTTCCTTCTTGAAATATCTACTTCTGGCACACTACTGCGTTCTAGTCTTGTTTTTGTGTTTTTTGGCTTGTTTTGAATGCTCGTTCTTAGTTTTCATGCTGATTGTTCTTCCTATCTTTGTTCTGTAAATGGTGGTTTTATTTTGGGTTCTGAGTAGGAAATTTTTTCTTATTGTACACTCTCACCCTAGGGCAGCCTTATTTATTCTTACAGCTCATATCTTAAATCTATGTCTATATCTATATGCATATCTGTGCTGATCTCTCTTAAACTTCTGAACTGCACATGTAAGTGCTTAAGCAGTTCTGCTTGATGCCCCTGAGACACCTTGAAAGTAACAAGTTAAAAACTAAGCTCATAATTTTCTTTCTAATTGATTGGCAAACTATGGCTCCATGCTCACCTGATTTGTGAATAAAGTATTATTGGTACACAGCCATGTTCTTTCCTTTATGTATTGCTGAATGCTGCCTTTTCATTAACAGTGACTGAGTTGGGAAATTGTGATAGACTGTGTCATGCAGCAAACCTAAAATATTTATTACCTGGGCCATTCAGAAAATGTTTACTGACTCTTGCTATAAACTTCTCAACCTGATTCTTTTCTTGCCTGAGAAAGTGGTGGTATTTTCTACACCGTTTCTCAAGCTAGAAACTTAGAGTTATTCTTGAAAAATATTGCTAGAGAGAAGTCACCTATAGATCTTTCTGATCCATTTGCTTTCTTTGCTCATGCTAACACCCAAGTTCCAGCTACCATCATTAATTTGGATTACTTTGTCAACCTTGTAAATTGATCTCTTTGTAGCTCGTCTTGGTCCCATCTAACTAACTTAGTCTTCTTCTTTTTTTGAAAGTTTTATTTATTTATTTTTGAGAGTGAGAGCACAAGCAGGAAGAGGGGTACAGAGAGAGAGAGAATTCCAAGCATATTCCCCTGGGATCTGGACATAGGGCTCAGTCCAACAACCCTGAGATCTTTACCTGACCTGAAACCAAGAGTCAGCTGCTTAACTGGTTGAGCTACCCAGACGCCCCCCAATTAACTTTCAACACTGGCTTGAGTGACCTTTCAGAAATCCAATTTCAATTCTATGCCTGTGTTTAAAAACTCTTGAATGGCTACTCATTTAAATCCTTTAAATAGCTAGCCTTTGTTTTTCTCTTCAAAATGATAAGGTGCCAGTTTACCCTTTACATTGTGTATAGCCATATATGGCATTTTCAGATTCTTGAAACTTCTATACTAAATTTTGTCATATGTGTTGATTCTGCTTCTGTCTTCATTCCTGAATGTCTCATTGTTTAGGTAGCTTCAACATACATTTCTTCCAGAGGCATTCCTTGACTGTCTAGATTAGATTAGGCCCTCTGCTGTATTCTCCCTTAGTACCCTACACTTTGCCCATCACATTTTAAATCATTCATTCCTTCATCTACTAAGTAAATATTTAAGTGCATACTGTTTGTCCAATGCTGTTTGAAGTGCTATGGGTGTAGTAATGAACAACAATAATAAAAACATTCCTGTCTTCATAGAGCTTATACTATAGAAGAAGGAGAGACAATAAACAAATAATCAAATGTATAGTACATACAATGGTGATATATAAGACAGGGAATGGGGAAGGGGAATGCTGGGAGGGTGGGGGACTCCATTCAAAATATTATCTATCTATCTATTTATTTATTTATAAAGATTTTATTTATTCATGAGAGACGGGGGTGGGGGGCACGGAGAAGCAGGCTCCATACAGGGAGCCTGATGTGGGACTCTAT